GGGGTGAGGGGCCTGGCGAGGAGGTGGGCTGTGGCGAGGGGCTGGGCGTGGCCAGGGAGCCCAGAGTGGCGCTGATGGCAGGCGCCCCAGGGAAGGAGGGTGGAGCCTAGGAGGAAGCGCTTGCTCAGCCGGGGCTCCCGCCGGTGTTCCGAGGATAGCCGGCGGTTCTCTGACTGAGCTGGGCTTGTCGGGGAGACCTGCCCTGCTCCCCGGCATCCCAGCTGCAGGGCCGACTAGGCCGCGGTCTTGCCAGGTGCCCGTGGGGCCCGCCCAGGACTCTCTCATGGACCGGGGTCTCCTGCCGATCTGTGGCGAGCGCTCCGGGAGGCCGTGACCCACCCCCTGTCCTTTCTTGCAGGTCCAGTGCCACAGCTACACAGGGTACTGCTGGTGCGTGACACCCAACGGGAGGCCCATCAGTGGCACGGCCGTGGCCCACAAGACGCCCCGGTGCCCAGGTAGGTGCTACGCCGCGGGTCGGGGGCCGCCTTCCTGAACGTGGTCTCTGCTTCCGCTTTGGGCTGGTGTTTCAGGGGCCTAGCCGGCTAGGGGGACTGTGAGGACTGTGGGAGTGGGCTGCACCTGGGACCAGGTGTCACTATGCTGAGAGCAGGCGCTTTCTGGGGAAGGAAGAATGGCCAAGCTGAGAGTGGGTGTGCATGTATGTGCACGTGAACATATGTGTATTTGCGTGTGTGCATGTGTACGAATCCCATGTATGTGTATATGGAGAGAGACGGATGCAGATCTATGGATACGGATGCACAGACACATGGACACATGTGCAGATGCAGACATGGGGGCAGCTCTCAGATGATGGGATCCCTGGGTCTGGGCTGTGACAGGTTATTACAGTTCAGGACTCACGTATATATGTATGTAAGTAGCCACAAGGGTTGTCCTCACCCATGGAAGTGACCAGCTATTTTCTCTGGCAAGGCAAACCCCATGTTTCTGGTTTCTTACGTATGTGCAAAGCGGAGGAGGGTCCTTCTCAGAGGTCGTTCCTGATTGTTGGCTTGGGTTTGGGTCATTCAGGACACCGAGACGTACTCCATCTCGTGATATGGAGTCTGCACGCTGGCCTGTTGTCCATTAATATTTTACCAAAGGGCAACACCGTATCCAGATCATTGTAATTGAAAATAGCCTGCAGCAAAGTTTGACTAAATTTTGGGGCAATATATCCGATACCCTGTGGAGGACTTTTCATGGTCTACGGTGACAACCCCTGGACCAGAGGTAGACAAGCTAAGACAGGCAGAATACCTGCTGATTGATGTCAGTCCATTCACGTACATCTTCCCTGGTTTCTCATGGCCAATTCAGACGTTGACATTTGGGATTCACTGTAGACTCATTTGCTACTGAAAAGGGGGGATGCTTTATTGGATTTCTGTTCGTTATCCAGACACACGCCCATCACCCCTGCAGCCAAGGCTAAAACTCACTGCTGCCGACGGCTTCTGTGAGAACGAGGAGGTACTTCACCGTGGTGGACACCTGTACCTCTGGGATGGGCATCATGTGAAGCTACGAGTGTGTAGGGGATGCCGTGGAACTATACTCATGTTTTAAAACAGTGGTGTCCTCCAAGACCTACAAACTTTTGCAAAAACGTTTTTAGTGAATTAACCTTTGCCCTTAATATTTTACAAATTCTTGGAGGGAACGAAAGAAGGAAAAATACTACCATTGTCACATTGGCTTCTGCGTTCCCCTCCTTTGGAAAGGCATGTTCACGTTTTTATTCCATTTCTATCTGCTCCGTGGTCTTCTGAACCAAGCTCTGTGAGATGAAGGAAGAGGCCAAGGGCATCTGTGTGTTCTGTGGTCTTGGTGATGCTGTTGGAGAGCTTAGGTCCAGCCCCAAAGTACTTTCTCAGAAAAATGCGTGCAGAATTGGTTTAGTTTCTTAAAATCTCCAAAGAGCTCTTCATTTCTGGGATCAAACCACCATCATGTCCTCTTGTACTGTTGTTTCCAACCAGGTGTCAGGAATGTTTTACTGTATAGAAATGACCCTTGTTTTCATTTCCTGTGTTGACTTTTTTGTCCAAGAGATGGGGTACAGAAGAGAAAGGGTGCCTTCCTTTTGCTCCAGTCTGATGTTCACTGTGAGTGGCATGCAAGTGAGTAGGAAGCAAAGTGTGTCAGATCAAGATGAAGGTTAGGACGAATTACCCTGAACTGTGTCTTGTGTGATGGTCGCAGCAGGGATGCATCCATAGTGTATGTGTGGCTGTCCCCTTGGAGGTAGCCTGGGAAGCTGTCATCTCACACCTGCTTGGTCCCACAGTATAATCTGTTGTTCCCACCGTTATGGAAAAAGAAAGCTATGGACAGAGGAGCAGTCAGTTGCAGGGATCCAGGTGAAGAGAGGAACTTGGGCACACCCAAAGCAGCAGGGTGGGAGAGCGGGAGAAAGGGATTAAAAGGCCTAGGAATCTGGACACAGGAGGAGTCAGCCTCAGGGACCCATGTAAGGGTGGTACGAGAGGTTTCCAACAGGGAGGCAAACTTGTCTGTTGGTTTGTCCTACTGTGGTGACGTGTTGATGTGAGTTTTGAGGCTGAGCCACTGGTGTTTCTAACCCAGCAGGATGCATATGGTGCACAGGTATCATCCCAGCTCACAGACTGAGACAGACTAGGAAGAAGGAAGAGGCCGTCCAATTCTCAAATAATTGGCCAGGGAAAACCTTATGAATAGCAAAGAAACGCTGTTTGATACATTACCGCACAACTTTATGAATAGTCCGGTTAGGTTAGAAGGCTCTCAAAACAGGACTGGGAAAGAGCTGCATCATCTGAGTAAACCCAGCCTTACTCCTATGGATAAGGTAAAGCTTTTGAGAATACCATTTGCTGATGTGGCACCACTCAAGTTGAAGAGAAACAACTGTGAGACATCCATTAATCATTGGAACATGGAATGTACAAAATGAATCTAGGAAAATTGGAAGTTGTCAAAAATGAAATGGAATGCATAAAGATTGACATCCTCAGCATTAGTGAGCTGAAATGGACTGGTT